TGGAGTATAAACTCAGAATGTAAGCACATGTTTGTCCCTGCCTGCATGTGCACAACAGTTGTGTGATGTTGTGAATGTGTTTGTCATGTCCAGTCATTTTCCAAGCCAAGGATCTCACATTCACATCTACTTCTCACCTTGACTGGCTAGTTGCACATCTCTGTCCAGCGCTTCTTCTTCATTCTTTACACAACAGTTTATGACACTTTATACCACCATCAGTTAGGTATATAAATTCTGTTTATAACCAGTGCACATGTTAAAGCCTCACAATGTTCAAAACCAGATGTCCAGCACTGTAAAGGACAAATGAGTCCACTGGTGGTAGTCAATGGCTATGAGCTGTAACAACATGTGGCACAAGTCTGGTTGATGTTTACTTTTAATCTGGAAAACATCTGGTCAGCTATTAATGTGCAAATAACAATAATAATGGAAAGAGGAGGAAATTGAAGCAGGATTCAGGAAAGAAGAGGATTTATGGAAGCGAGGGAAAGACTGCCTCAGGAAAGTTACGTGCTTTGTTGTCATTCTCAAATTCACATCATGTCAGGCCCAACTGGAGGAGATATAAACATAGATGAAAGTCAGTAATTATTCATTTGAATGAGCATATAAACAAAGTGGTGATGGCAAGCTCAAAGGAGGAGGAGATAATTGGTTTCAATGCAGAATTTTCTGGAGAAATCAAGGAGAAAGTAGGTCTCATTCATAAACACATCAGACATGAGTTAATGAGTATCAAGTAAAATAAAACAACAACAAGATTTTAATCAAACATCAGCTTGCTGCTGTCAGGTAGAAGTTTACATCTCTGATATGATTATTTATCAAACTTTTATGTGGTAAGAAAATGAATACCACCTTTCATAGCCTTAGAAAACGTATTTTAAAATATAAATATGTTAATATACCCTGATTGTGGCATTTCCTGCATAATGCATTGCAATATATTAACTAATATTTAAAATCGATGGTGAAAACAGAATTCAGATCCTTTACTTACTTAAGTAAAAGCAGCAGTATGACAAATCATAATGTTACTTATGTAACTGCATATTGTCAAAATGTCTAAATTAAAAATAGACATTATGCAGAATGCTCCCTGACAGTGTTATTGTGTTATATATTATATTATTTGATTATTGTTATCAGTGATAGACTGGTGACCTGCCCAGGGTGCAGTCCGCCTCTCGATCAATGTTGCCTGTTGTTTTTAATGCAAAAATACCATAATATGCCAAAATTTCACTCTTATAACCCTATAAAATCTACACTGTGATACTGCCTCAATTATTTAATAGTTTCCTTATCTAATCAAAGATATGCAGGTCATTAAAAAAGGTGTGCCGCCTCCAAAGCAATCAACCTCCTTGGCGCGGAGCATTAACTCTGGTAAACGCTTGGGTGTGTCCTTTCCATTCTGAAACTTGAGCAGCTGCAGCCATAACCAAACTGTTCGCTCTTCAAATAACCCACAGCCTGTGTGCACAGACATGGTGTCTATAGAACTGCATTCATAATTCATGCTGATCTTGTGGCTCCGCCCGTCCTTAAAGCTTCATTACTGTCAACTCTGCATGGTAATCAAAACCAGGAACAAGAGAGCTATAGGACTGGTGAGATCAAATTTCTCTGGTGTATAATCAAGATTATTATCAAGGCTTCAATGGATAGTTTTAAATAAACATAAAGTAGGTGGAATATTACTGTTGTAAAAGTCAGTATTTTGCAATGCTACAATCATTGTTGCAATAAATGAGACCAGTGAGACATGTGGAGTTAACAAGTACCACACATCTTTAAGTGAGCAAAACAGTGTGTACTTCCATGGCCAACTGTATTGTCAAGGGTGCCAGGTGAAACCCAATCAGTCATCAAAGCTTTATACATCTCTCTTTATCTATCTACTCAGGTTGCCAAGCAACCAGTTACAAAAAACCCTGACAGCAAACTTGAAGTCTGATTGGTTTTTGACTGATACGCTGCCGTAATCAATGAGAGCAGAGAGGATCATGGTGAGGAAGTGGCCAGGTAACAGTGGCAGATAACTGGGTTGTATGGTGAGATGGCATAAAGGTCTGTTTCCATAAATAAACTGCAGGCATGGATGTGTGCACAAGGAAATGTGAATCAGAGGAGAAGTTACTGATGTATGATTTTAGGACAGACCTTCCTGTTTTATCATTTCTTTCTGTCTGATAACGGTGAGACTCAACTCTGATGGAAACCAAACTTGGAAGGAAGGTTTTATCTTCACTTACTGTATGAAAAAACATGAAACTTACTCAAAGTGTGGAGCTCCTGTGAATTTAAAATGACCAAAGCCTGATTTCTAAGCAGAGGCAACATGGTGCATGTATGTGTTCATATGTGCATCAGGGATACAGGAGTCTGTCTGCCAAGGCTAGCTGATAATGGACCTCAGGCTCTGGAAAAGAGACCTTCTGAAATATGAATGAGGAAATCTACACCTGTTTCCAGGTAACACCGGCAGAATCGTGACATTGAATGTGAGTGTGTGTTTGTGTGTCCAAACAGCGCAGCTTCCTCGCTTTACCTGTTTAGTCTCTCTGTGGGGAAGAAGCTGCCGTAAGCCCTGTTAGCTTGACAGAAACAGAGAAACACAGCACAGGCCTCAGTGCTGAACAGGTTCCCAGAGCTACTGAACTACTGAGAGCTTTACGCATGGAAACGGGTCAGAGCTGGCCCAACTGAAAGCGGAAGCCAGAAGTGGAAGCTTGGTGGAGGTGGACCATAGACACACAGAGAGGTCTTCACAGGTCTTGCCCTGAGAGTTGAGCTTCTGTTTGAGCAAGTATGAATCCTGTGTGGAAGGTTTATAAGAGCAAAGTGCTGAAGACCCTTAACCCTGAGTATGAGGAGGAAACTGTTGAAGAGGTACAGAATTTATACCTTTCTCCCTCTTTGTTATGTTCAGAGTGAATCATATTCATATGGTGAAGTATTAAAAAGTTGCTGGTTGGCACTGATGTCAGAAAGTCATCGCCAGGTTTTACTTTGCTGATCATTTTTTATTCATCACAGGGTCGGCTTGCTATGCTGTAGTGTTTTCTGTGTAAAGGGAACTTTAATGCAGAAGTTAGGCCTACACATCCTCCTTCTTTAGTACCGTGGTAGTTTATTCTGCCAAATGAGCCACTGAGTGATAAAATGGTGCTTGTTTATGTTGGTGTACAGATCTACCTGAACCCCACAGTCTCCAGTGTTGTAATGGAGTCTAGTAGTAGCAGTAATGCAGCTTGTAACTTAAATAATATACAGCAAGGCAACATTATGAGTCATATGCAATAATTTTATCAGTGGCTGAAAGAATTAAATACTTTATATGGAATCTTGATGGTGATTTTATGTTTTAAAACTAATAATTATAACTTGAAGTACTTTACAATACTGCTTGATAGCCTGTGAGTTTCCACTAACAATCAATAAAGTCATATGATTATACTGTGTTTTATTGTATCAATGTGATTCTGAGAGAAACTAAAGTTATCAAATACATGTAGGGGTGTAAAAATTTTATTTGCCTCTGAAATGTAGTGAAGTCAAAGTATGAAGTAGCTGAAAATGGAAATACTCAAGAAAACATTAATTTCAAAACTGTCCTTAAGGACAGTACATGAGGATAAGTATTTAGTTACTTTACACCAGATTACTTCAGATTGAAATTTGAGGCCACACACTATATGAAGAATATGTCCATTTTATTAAAGTGTTAAACATAGTCATTAAAGGTCAAACCAGTGGTTCCCAGCATGTTTGTCTTGTGACTCCTCATGTGAAGCTGCTTGTCATGATTCAGATGTCTGTGATTTGTTAGCAGTTCCACCAATGATTTCCTCTCTAAAACTCTTAGATGGTTTCAGTTAAACAATTGTTTCAGTCCTAAAGAGGAAAGGTATCTAATATTTCAACAAAAGAAGAGTAAAAGTACAGAAAGTCCAATAAATGAAGGCAAAATTGTATAGCAGGACTTTATTTTTAATTCTTTCCTACCCTGTTACTCACCCCATGACCTCTGACATTTATCTTGTGGCCCTTTGGGAGGGGCTGATCCCCAGCTTAGGAGCCATGGGGCTAAACTATCTAACTGTGTATGAAGTTGATAAAACTAGCTCCACCTAAACTAGCAGTAAAAAGAAACTTACTCATTGCATCAAAAATAACAATAACATTGTTGTACTGGTACTTTTACTTAGGTGAAGCATCTGAGTACTTCTTCTACCACTGGTTTGCACGGTCTTATTGTAATCAGGGTTTGGTACCAGCTAAATACACCCATGTTGCACTGACGCAGGTCTCCAGTGTGCTGAGAAACTCAATCCTGCACAGGAGCTGAGCAAACAGATTAGCTGGCATTCCACTGACTGACTGACAGGGATAGCCAGATATCCTGGGCCTCGCAGACCCGCCAGCTGACAGTTTCTCTATAGGGGGACCAGGGAGTACTGTGTGTGTCGGAAGACAGAGTTTCCATCCAGATGGATGTGCAGGGTTGTCCTTGCTCCAGTTTCAATCAACATTGCTCTGCACTGTGAACTGAGACAACTAACGTGTATTACTATGATCTTTCCTCATGTCACTAGGACTGTTGACTGTACATTGGTAAAGGCATAAATCACAATTAAATCATTACAACATTCTCAAAATGCTAAAGAAATATTTCATGTAGAAGATGTTTTTAAAAGGGTTCCAACAAATGAGGTTCCAAAAGATTTTGTAAATATGTTTATCTGTCTCCTATAGTATATTAACATATTTAGTCTATATTGTAATATCCATTTTATGCACTAGATGGCATTTAATGTGCACAAAGCATGTGCATCTGCAGTTAATAGTATATTGTAACTAAATGCGGGACACTGATGTTGCATACATTTTTATCTTCTTCTTTTCTGCTGTTGCAGGCTGCAGAGGTGGAGAATGACATGGGTCCAGTGCTGGAGGACGAGGGGCCCAATGCCGTCTCCCAACTGGCCAAGAAAGTATGTGAACACTGACAGCACTTGCTTGAGTTCTGGGACATTTTATCTTCCAAAAAGTATTTAGGTGAACAGACAAACACAGTTTATAATCTGGCCATAAAGCTATATACTGCTAGATTTTAGTCAGGTAAGTTGCCTAACAGCTTCAGTGCTGTAAAATAAAAAGGAGTGTGTGTAAAATCAGAGGATTGATGTTCAACTGAGTCACTAAAAACACCTAATTTGGCTTTTGTCCCTCTGTGTGGGGTTGGTTGTGTGTGCAGGTGCAGGGTGCTGGGGCTAAAAGCTGGAACAGACTATCATCTCTCTTCAGTAAGGATGATGAACATCAGCTTCTAGAGGAGACTGAAACCAGTGCTGACCAGTGAGTAGAAATCTTTCTTTTTTGTTGACAGCTCTTTTCTTTTCTTTCTGGTTGCATGTCATCTGCACATCTTGTACTATCTGTGAGGTTTCTGCAGGTAAAATGGGACTGGTTTGTGAGATTATGAGACATTTTTATAGCTTCTGTGTGTAAGATGCATTCAGAGCATTACTGCACCAAATCCCAATTACTCAACTCTCAAATCTAATTACACTGCTTCCTCTGAATTCTCAGTCCACTTGCCGTAAAGCCGGAAGAGTCTGCACGACCCACCAGGCGCACAGGATTCTGGGATAGTTTTGCGGCCAACTGGGCTGTCAAGAAGCAGGCAGAAGCTGCAGCCGCTTCTGCAGCGAACAGGGCGACAGCAGGGCAGGGTGAGGAGGGGGTGACAGAAGCAGGAGGAGAGGAGAGCCAGGATGGTCAGATCACTGAGGGAGAGGAGAGTGAAGGAGATGGAGGAAGGAGCAACAACAGCTTCTCCAAATACATCTCTCTGGGAGGAGGCAGCGAGGACTCATCCTTCAAATGGAACTTTGTCACCAGCAAGCTGGCAGAGCTGAAGACTAAGAGCACGACCAAGACCAACTAGCTGTTCACGAAGGAAGAAAACTAACAAAATATGGCTGGTGGGGCTGGGTAGGGCTTTAATGTAGGGGTGTAGTGGAAGTACAGGAGGATCATATATTTTACACAGGAAGTCCTGTAGCTAAAATGTACAGCTGTTGTAAAACCCTCCTTTTGTCTCATTATAAACTATATGACTAATGCACCATCTCCCAAAAAAGGCTTTTTACAACCACATGACAAAAATGTTTTAGGGCTTTTTTTTCAAGAACAAAAATAAATTGTAACTTTGATGATGGCATTGGTACTTTAGAATGACCAGTAACCCAGTCTGCACATTTAGACACAAAGCTGACACACAAAGACATAAAAGTGAGAAACTTTAGCTTCACAAAGGAAATAAAGCTAATTGAAGATTTATTTTATTACTCCTTGGAAAGGAGATGGATAGTACGCAAATCTGTCCACAGAGCTAATAGCTGTCTTTTCACTAGAACACTTTGCAGCCAGCAGTATAACAAGTGAACAGTATGCTAGGGATATATTCATCAGTTTTATTATTTACAGGATAGCTTTGATAGGTTTGAGATTTTTCAAGTTGGTCCTAAAGCAATATTTAGGTGCATGTAGGCTACGTGAGAATAGATGTTAAAATATAATTTTCCCTACTCTCCACACTGACCCTGAAGGATCCATACAGCATGTGTCCACGGTGTAAAAGATTAGGGACGAATTAGCCCTTGTTTTGTGTAAAAATGCACACCAAACTTTGACTGGGGCTCAAATGAAGCTTCAGCTGTCCCACTAAACTAATCTGAGTCAGCATCTTTATGAGTTATATTGTAACGATAAACAAACTTCCCTGTTTTATTTACCAGGATAGTAGCTCCTTGCTGATCTGTGGCGGAGGGATGGTGAGGTTCTAGTAGTCGCATGTAGGTTTGTATACTAGTGTTTATTTCTCAAGCTTTGCACGGATTTAACTTAGTTTACATGTTTCATAGCTGGAATAGTTTTTGCAGTTTGTGGTTTGGTGACACCAGTAAAACCTGCTCCTGTGTCTGGATTATGTTTGTGCATGTGGGACAGACTCACTCCAGCTTTTTCTTCAGTGTTTCCTGCCTCAGTCATCTGTGCATTGTAGCCTATATCCAGGGTGTTTTGAAAGAAACAAGTGACGCTACACATATTTTACCACAAAGACCCTGAAAGGACCAAGCTGCAACTAACTGTGGTCAAAATGTACATAAATACATGTTTGTAAAGCTGAGAGAGTTACATGCACATGGAGCCCATTTCCACAGGTGCTGTGAGAGAAACTCTGCTGTGACATCATTAGTCGAGCTAACAGTGGCTGACAAGGAGGAGAGTGCACATAGATCCATAACGTGTTGTTATTTATCAGTCAGCCAGACCAAAGTCATGTTTGTGTAATGTTCCCAAAAAGGTGCAGTGATGACAGACTGCAGCTCAGTTCCCCTACAAAGCAACAGTGACATTGATTCAGCTTTATAGAAACATATGCTAGTGTGTGCCAACTTATCTCCCAGGAGCACAGGCCTATCACAATAAGCTGACAATACTGATTATCGTTTACCTGAGTAAAAAGCAGGTGAATAACTGGTAACAAGCAACTATTAAAACATAGCCCTCCACCACAGCTCTGTAAGAAACAACTATCCTGGGGCACAAAAGAGGAAAATTTGTCTTCAGTAGACTGTAATTTGGGATGATACGAGCTTTGCAGCAAAACAAGGGCTGTGTATTTTATACTTAATTTTTACAGTGCAGTCACATTCAGGGTGGAAAAACTTAGGGTTTGTGTGGAGACAGCGACTAAAACCTATTCTCACGTATATATTGGCACGCCAGTATTATTTAAAGACCAACCTGCAAATAATAAATCTGTTCTGTTAGACCTACCTCTATCATATCAATAACTTGGCCCAAACCTCTCCTTTACAGGGCCACCACACCTGTCACCAAACCTGATCTAATTCGTTGTGTAGCCAAAACTGGATTAAGAGATTAAAGGCAGTGATATCTGAATTAGTTGAGGATTATCTCACTTAACCTGTTCAGAGGGCAGGAGACTGCTGTTAAAAGATTTGGCAGTGCAGTATAAAAAATGCCTCAGACACCAGGAATGGAAAATGTGCTGCACAATTAAATTAAATATGTAAAATATGAATGTGTGTGTTGAGGTAGTGTCAGGTGTGCTGACGTGACTGACTGACTTAACTGGCTACAACGTGTGAGTTTGTGACATTCCTAATTTGGTGGCATGAAAGAAAAGAGGCTTTAAATACTATTTTCTCTCAGAGTTTGGTTTTGTGTTGTATGTTTTACTCTCCTGGTTTGTTTTCTGATATGATATAATAAAGACTATTGCACTAAAAGATCTGATAAAGTTGAGTGAGTGAATGTATTTTCATTTTCAAAGCAGTGGTATGTTTTTACACAAGGCTCTACTTTTTTCATATGGTTTTTAGATGGATTGTGTTGTTGCTTTATGCAGGAGAGAAGCTGGAGTGGCCTCTGAGACCAGTTTTTTTTGTTATCTTGAAGCTACTCTATTTTGACATGTGTTGGAGGTCATTAAGTTTGTTTGACATTGGTTTAGTCTGGAAGGTTTGGACCTCTCATCCCATTCTGTCTGGGGTGTAAAGGTGCTATTTATTCCAACATTTTAATTCTAACCAAATAAACAAAATGCAACAGGATGTTTTTGGTTCCTCTAACCAGCAGGGGGCAGCCTTTACCTTTTAAGTGTGAAGCCCTTGTCTCCTCTGTTCTTCTGTGTTGTTTTACTTCTCTCATCTCTATGACATGCACACCAAACCCATATTTTATAACAGAGCCAAAAATCTGGTCATACTCCCGGTGGAAAAACACCTTTCATTTCCTCTGTGATTACCTTTTCTTCTTTTCTTTTCTTTTTTTACCCTCAATAAACTGTACATGCATTTCCTCCCTGGCTGTGCAATGCTTCCTCAGATAAAACACTGCTTCCTTTTTAATTTAGGAGCCTTTGTTGACATTTCCATTTGAATTTGGCAGTGCACCTTAATAAAAAAAGACTACATGAACAAATACACCCAAACTTGGGTTCATGGTCTTTTTTTTTTTTTTTTTTGCTTGTTTGTTTCTTCATTTTACTTCATTTTTTTAAGATGACAAGCCTCAACTATTCTATTAAAACTTCAGATGTTAGGCTGTCATTGTGGATCCCATGGTGCTCAGGAGTTGTGCCCAGACTTCCACAATCGTCGGCCTCAGTTTGAGTCAGAACAGCTCTTTCCCCTACTCACAGGTCAGTGAGAGGTTCAGCTATTGGACATATTGATGTAGTGATGTAGTTCATCCAGTGTCACAAACCATAAAAACAAGCCCAAAAAAAATATATTAGACGAGGAAGTACTTTTCTTTTTTAGCATCAGGAGAGTGGCCTGTTTGGGTGAGATCTGCTGAATGCTGCTGAATATGTGATGCCTGGGGGGAGCTCTGAGGTAGTTTATAGGGCATGAAAGCATCAGGAACCGAACCATGATGGTTGGTAGTTTGTGCAGTGGGAGACAGTAGTGGGAATGCAGAGAGGCACAAGTGGACTAAAATGTGTCTCTGTCATCAAAAGGAAAAATGTTTTTTGCTTGGTTTATGAGCAGAGATTAAATTGGAGTATTCTCAAACATATCTCACATACATGTACTGCTCTCTGGATAAACTGTCAAGTCAGTAGTTGTACTATAGATTGATATAAATATTGTACACAACTTTTTAGGCAGACAAAAATAGCATTATTCTAATTGATGTTTGGGCCACTAGGGGGCAGCATAATAAGCAGTAAAAACAACATATAGTGTTAATGTATGGTGAATGTTATCTAACAGTTTCCTGTTTGCACACACAGAGCAAGATTAGTCTTTATATGAAGTGATGCTTATGTCATTCTGATAAATCCCTCTGGCTCTGTTTTAGCCTCTGTCTGGTTCTTTAGCTGTAAAATACTCCACTGTGTTCATCAGCTGAATGCTAACTTTGTTTGTCTGCTGTCCAGTGTCGAGCATGTCGTGTGCAGTGGATTTGTAGAACGCTTTCACTCAAAACAGCTGTTGACTGTGACTGAAAACAAGAGTGTGAAAGTGAACCAAAACGTTGCAAGGTGCAAAACCAAAACAAGGAGCTGAAAAACACTAAGGAGAGGTGAAAGAAACTACAGCGCTGGATGATAAATATCTGTAGGTTCATTACTACAACAAACTCGTTCACAAAACACCTAAAACTTATTGTTAATATTGTAAAATATTGGCATTATGGGGAGTCCCGCCAGGTGCTGCTCTGCCCCAGTGCTCCAGTATTGATTAATTTAAAAAGAACCATATATAGTGTTACAGCTTTGGTACAACTGAAAGGAATAATCATGTTAAGTTTGCTTTGAATCTATTTGCAACAAATCAAACAAATGGAGATTGCTGTTATACTTTGTATACAGTCCATACAGTAGTTTGGCAGTTGTCTATAGTTTGCATATCTGCGTGTCCTAGGAGAGGGATCCCTCCTCTGTTGCACTTTCTGAGAGTATCTCCTTATCAAACCTCCCTGAGGCAAATTTGCGATATTGTGCTATGTTTATCAGTTTGATCTGTGTATAGGATATGATCTTTATCAGGGTCTATATAGTGGTCACTAAAGTTGTGAATGGACTGAAAGAAACATTTTGCGCTACTGCATACCTGTAGGTGTTGACCTAAAAAGGATTTATTTGACCAAGTTGCAAAGGATTTGGCAGTTTTTTTTATGTAGATGTGTGTTTATGGTTTTGTAGTGTAATGTTGTGTGTGTGTGTGTGTGTGTGTGTGTGTGCGTGTGTGTTTGTGCTGATCGGCTGGGTGTGGCATCACACCTGACATCAGTTGGAAGGAGCCTATATATATACTGTATATACAGTATGTGTCAGGTCAGAGTAGAAGCTCCACTTATCAGATGAAGCCTTAATGCTCACGTGCCACTGATGTGGTAGCTTGGCCTGAATTTTGTGGAGCATCAAATCATTGTGCGGGCCATAATATTTTTACTGATAATGGGATATACAAATATTTGGCCTGATTTTTGTGGAGCATTAAATCATAATGTTTTTACTGATAATGGGATATACAAATAAAAACTAATGACTATCTTATCCACTGTTGTAACAAATCACTTATCAGGACAAACTGAATTTATAGTTGGT